TCCTGCAACCCAGAGAGTTTATTTGTTAGTAATGGATAAACTTCACCATTTAACAACAGGTGTATGTTAGGTTTCCCTGTTTTAACCTTGCTGAAAAATCTTCACGTGTTCATGAGTGTAAGCTGCTTTTTCATTGCGTGTGTGTGTATTTGGTTAATTTAACTTTTTTCTCAAACAAGGCATTTCCTTAAAAGAAGCCTTTCTCTCACATTTCTCTGCTTGTATGCGTCTTTTTGTTTCACCTTTTGTTGCGATGCTCCGGACGCCTTCCCAACCTCCACAAGTCCGTTGGCCCAAAATCCAACCCAATTTTTTCTTAAAGCTTTAGTTTCTCCTCTAATTCTCTCCTCGCGGCTCCAAATTACCCTCTTTACTCTCTTAATTTAATTATACACACTCGTCAGGGGACAGGCACAAAGCAATCAACACTTTCAACCACTGAAATGAGGAATTCAACCTTTTGACTAATCTAGAACTCAACCTTTGATCCCAAAATGTGTCTTGTTCTAGTCCAGAATAAATGTGAATCCGTGATTACACAGCGGTTCCAGTGTTATTCTGTTATCGTTTGAGGACCCTCAGCTCTCCGGTGATAAGCCTGGACCTCCAGACGTCGCTGGTCCATACGCCGCGTCCAACGTACGGTGGGGGAGCCAACCCCAGGGCAAAATAAATTTTCACAGGTCCACTAGGCATCAACCTTGGATCCTAAAATGTGTCTCCTCTCTAGTGTTCTCCAATTCACACATTAACCAGTCACTGTCACCATGTTCATATTTCATACAATGAAACACACAAAAAGCGCATCTCATCCGCAGAAAAACACACAGAGCCTTCTGAGCTCAACTTAGAAATAATTCAAAGCGTAACCACACCACAAGCCAGCCTCTATTTCACCTCTATTTCATATGCTGACCTTTTGGCCGCAACTTAGAAATTTTCTACCATCTTATTGCCACAGAAGCAAGTTATAGACAAAGTTGAATGTGGAAAGTAACTCTAGACTCAACGTAGTATGTTATTAGTTTCTTGTTAGAGGCAGTTCCTATGTCACACTGGAATTCAGCCTCAACTTATGATGTTATTATCTCGAAAACAACGACGAAAACCTGGACACTGATAAATTTAATGTGAAAATACGTGTAACTCAGCGAACAGATTAATTTAGAATTTCCAATATGCACATTTGGTATTTATAATACAACAGGCTGTGCTTACCTTTTTATATTTGGACCGGTCCTCTGCTCGCCTCGCCTCACGCTCTCACCACAGGCCAAATCTGCCTTCCTCAGCACACCAAAGATCCGGGTCACAAGGCACCAAATTGTTAAATCCTCCCGATTCTTTCGATCTTTGGGCTAAAGGAAGGACGATACTCGGTGTATAAATGCTCAATCAACAATTACTTTATTACACACAATTCAACACTTTTGAGCATAAACCATCCGGATGGGGAGACATGCATGCAGAGGGTCACAGCAAATCTCCAACTGGTGGAGGGTGACTCAAACTCTTATAGCCTCTAGTGGCCCCCACCTAGTCGTAAAAACCTAAACATTCACATTCTTTCTCTCTCTGCAGTATGTTCTGTTCTTTTCTAATCAGACAAATAAGGCCATGACTCTCCGAAAACACTATTTCTTATAACTCAGCAGTATAATGCATCATAGACAATATCATTCATTCGCAATAAATCAGAAGTCTACAGCAGATACAAATCAGTTTAACAAATGTAATAGTTACCACCTTCTTCTAATTCAGGAGAATAATGCAAACTAAAACTACATAATAATTTCACAATCTTTAATTAGGGGTGTAACATAGCATAAGATAATATAATAATCCCACAAACCCTTTCCACAATAAGGCACTTGCAAACAAACACATTTCTACTGCACCATTTGTCTTAGATTGGCCTCTTTTAAGGATCAATTGCCATTAAAATGTATTAAATCACTGTGATTAGGCAGGAGAAATAATGAAGAACATGACTTCCTTTACTAGATTTTAGAACAAACATTTTTAACAAATCAAAGGGCACAGGAAACATTTTGAGAAACATTTATGAGACAGGAAACATCTTGAATGAAATCAAAGGGATTAACTTCATCACTTCTGCAAATTCAGTCTTTTTCTTTTTAAACCACAGAACATCTGGTTGGTTTTGTAATGAGCTAACGTATATTCAGATGCAACACTATGTACTATGGTGAGCTTATTGTAAAACATAAAAAGTAACAAAGAGGAACGTCAGATACCAACACGAACAGGAAGCAGCTGGTGTGTGGGTAAACTGGTGTCCATGGTGACAGTTACAAGGTAAACAAGCTGTTTGAAGTTAGTGCTGAAACTGAATGTGATTGGATAATGCTTGGTCAGAACAATGCATTGTTGTCAGACAACAGCCAATGGGCTGCAAGGTGGCTGTTAATGCAAATGGAACAGTTTAATTGTTTAAAACATCAAAAGCACCTCCAAATGACCTTCCATCCTTCTTAGAAAAAAAAGAAATTTGTTCTGCTGCTCATATAATTGTGACCTGTGTATCTGCTGTTACCAACACCAACCACTAATATTGCCTATATTATATGTAGCCTCACCGGATACAAGTACTGGAGTTCTTACTGTGCAGTCTTTTATTATCAGTGAAGACAGAAATGTCCCCCATTTTGTCCAAAAACGTGTGTGTGTGTGTGTGTGTGTGTGTGTGTGTGTGTGTGTGTGTGTGTGTGTGTGTGTGTGTGTGTGTGTGTGATATCTATCTATATCTCTATATCGCTATATATTTTTAAAAAAGTCTAATCAAATAATAAGAAAACTACAAAAACAAACAAACAAATAAACCAAGTGAAAGCTAAAGTACTTGATTACTCTGGTACAGTTTTTGTATGCATGCTAAACCTTGTCAGTTTGTGTTCTCGTGCTTGGGTTGGTGGGTTGACTGCTTGAGTTTTCCAAGCTCTCAGTGATGACTTCATGGCAGACTCATACAGGTTCACATTATGTAGCAGTCCACTGCTGGATGTACAGTTTTAATTTCTCTAGACTTTCATATTTTATTCAAAAAACTGAGGTAGCAGACTTATTTCTTCCTGTGCAGTCATGAAAAAAAAGTCTAAAAAGCCCAATTTTAACATTATTGCATATTAAATAACTTAGAGAAATAGGTAAGAGATGGATTGGAGATCTAGGTTCACCAATTCTATGTAATACTGTGATTTTCTGCTGCTCATTCCTGTGCAATATCCCATCTGCCCTCCCGTCATATTTCTTTTCAAGATTTTCTTATTTAATTACTAGTGTATATATATTTATATTTATAGATACATATATATTTAGTCATCTTTTCTCTTTTACCATGTCTCTCTAATATTTTGCTCCTTACTATTTTTCTATTTTCTTTATTATTTTATTTTATTTTATTATATTTTCTTCTACTGTATCATGCTGCTGAGTGACTGCTGCTCGTCAAACACATTTCATTGCAATGTTGACCCTGTGCTAACTTGCATATGACAAATAAAACTGAAAACTGAAAACTATGTGGCCCCCCAAAAATCATGTAGCGGTCCAATTTTGCCATCATGAAGACAAGATCTTTGCGTAAAATGACACCACATTAGCTATCAAAACAATGTCACGGCAACAATGTGCTATTATCAGAGCTTAAGGTGGACCAACAAAATATCAAATGGTATGACTTTTTTTTTGCAGAAGAATTTATTTTGATGAATATTTTTTTTATTTACAGCACTCTATTTGCATATTTATTAATGTGAAAGCTGAATTGTCAATAGGCAACAGACACAATAAAGCATAATTAAAACAATTCTTTAGATTTATCATTACAAACAGCAACAACACAGAATGGACGCTTTACATAGTCTGACAAAGATTGTATAAAGAGAGACTGGGCCTCTGGTGCAGGAAGCTGCAAAGGAAAAGGAGGTCTGGGTGTCTCTGCTTAGACTGCTGCACCCAACACCTGAACCCAGGTAAGCTTCAGAAACTGGACTGCTGGATGGGCATGATTTCTTGTGGTCACTTGCATTGATTCTTTAGCTGCCTCTCTTAATCCTCTTTCAAGAGGTTTCATTAAATAATGGTTCGCTGTCTCTGATCTCTATCGGACAGAAAAAACATTTTTGTCAGAAAACAAATTGTGTCTGTAAAGAACAAAGTTATTACAGTAAGAACTAGACTGAAAACTAAACTTCGGTCTTAACTGAATCAAATTAAACCGGACTTGAAAAATTAAAACAATTAAAATAAAACACAATACACACACAACCCGAGGAATCGTTAGTTGTTACTGGGACAAAATTGTACTTATAGCCTGTTCTTACTTCTGGGCCCGATTCCAGGCAGTGTGTGCAACAAACAGAGTTCTGACTTTGTTCACTGAGGAATTGAACAGATGGTGATGTTTAATTGAAAAAAACAGCAATAGGAGATTAAAAGCTTTATTTAACAGGCACTGTGAGCAGATCTAAAATCTGATCTGGATGGGAAAAGACCAGAATGACCAGAATCAGAATTGCATCTGAGCGTGATTTAGTCTGAATTAATGATTCTTATTCATGTTCTTGCTATGCAATTGGCCTGTGAGTGACCATTTAGGTGATTTTCAGTGAAAGATATTGAGGTACAGCCCAAATTTTTAAAAACTGCAGCATTAAAATTGTTGTTTAACATAATTTAAATAACTGAATGTCTTTCTGTGAACAAGTTCCTACTTGAAATGTTCAGGACACAGACAGTCTGCATTTAAAAATCCCTTTTAGACTACATCTAATCCCATTTTAGATTTTTAAAGTAATTTAGGGCTCGTTTTCACTCAGATATTCACATCGTCACGGATCCATCCAACACATGACTCATCAGTTTGTTATGTGTCTAAAGCTTCATACACAGAAGTTTAACCCATATGTACTATTCAGGTTGAATTTGACCCACTTTGACATTTTACAGCAGCAAACACCCTAAATTTCATTTTTTTAAACTTGAAATTTGATTACTTGAAGTGACCCAAAATACATAAACAATAAATTATTTAAAACTTTTATACTTTTATTTGTTTTTCCAAATACTACTTTTTTTTTACATTGAGGCTTTGCCAGTCAAATTTTACCTGTAGCTACTGAGATACTGAGTTTGGGTCAAATAAAGGAAAATACATTTTACTAATTTTACGGAATCATGAAACTGTGAAACTCTACATCCACAAAGTTCAAGGGGACAGGGAGCAGAAGGTGCCTTGACATGGACTGGAGATCTGAGACAGGCTGGCAGGGCGTTGCAGTAGTTAGAACTGTCACCTCACAGGAGCAAGATTCAAACGTGCTGCGGCCTTTCTGTGTGGAGTTTGTCTGTTTGGACAACTCCAGAATACATCGGTTCTCTGACTTCTTTCCACAATCCAAAAACACTATAAAGTGGTTAAATTGAACTCTAATTATTAAAAAGTGTAACGTTAAAATGAGTTCATCCTTCATTAATTCAAATATGATGATAAATACGCTGGTTCACCACTTATTGCTTTTATTGAATAAACTATAAATTTCTAATAACAGATCAGTTTGAAAGTTCATGTCTAAGCTGAATCACAGCTTTTGGCTCAGTTTAGAAATTTACTGTCTGTTGTGTCATTATGATTGTTTTGTAAATGTAAAACCAGCAAAAAATAAGCACTTGATATGCAACAGTTTTAGTGAAGACAGGTACAGCAGAGACCTCGGGGGGCAAATGTGCAGATCACCGTCTTCACATCACTGAAGAAACATAATGAAGTGTCCGGTTTTTTGAATTATCACAGTAAAAGGCAAGTTAAGTGATGTCAAGAAAGCTGTAAGGTGAAATAAGGATTGTGGGTGTATTTACCTTGTGACAGTGCTTGAAGTTCATACTTTTGTGCCTGCAAAATAATTTTATGAATGAATAAAAAAAATGTGCTCCTTCAGTGATTGAGTCTGACATCCCTGACTGAGTCTGGCAGCTGTAACATCTGTATATAACAGAGCCTTTTACCTGCTGATGTGCTGCTTCTTGATGATGCTGTCCCCCTCTGCTGGAGCTCCCCTCACTGATCCAGTTGATCTGCTGGTTGGTTGCTTCTGGTTTTTGATGTTTTGCATTACTGATCATTTGTTGAGCAACATTTAAACAGCCGTCCCAGTCTTTCCTTTTTATGTTGCTCGTGATTTCTTTAGTCAGAGTTTCATTTGCTTCTTTCCTCAAAAGCTCCTCCAGAACTTTTTTCTCTTCTTCCAAAATCAGTTTGTAGTAAAAAGTTTTCTTGTTGCACCAACTGTATTTTTTTTTAAACCATTTTCTCCACCCACTCCAAGTCATGAAGAAAGCGACAACAGTCATGCTGAGGAGCAGAGAGTAAGCAGCAAGCTGAAAAAGAAGCAACAAACAAACAAAACATTTAACAGCATAAATGTGTCTGCGTATTTATTATACTTTCATAAATTAAAAAAACAACAACAGTACAATAACATTACATATTCACTGAGTACATATGCACATCCTCACCTTTGACTTCATTTGCAGCTCAGTTATTTGAGCTGTTTCATCAGCCGTGAGACCCTCAGGTTCGCAGAACAGCTTCCTCTTTTTTTCATCAGTGGTACAGCAACTATACCAGTCTGTGAAAAGCAACACAGCTACAATCCACAGCAGACTGATTAGAAATGCTCTGATAACGCGCTTGAGTACAAGGCATAAAAACGTGGATGGATGCTCCGCTGTGCTCCGAAATGTCTGGTCTATCAGGAGCACCAGGAAAAATACTAAAAAAACAGGCACGACCACCATTTCATTGCAATCAAAAGTGTGGCCTGAGCAAGCGCACATCTTGGCCTGCAGATACATAAATGCGAAGAAAATCCCGATGCCTGTGCCAGTGGTGCCGATTTTTCCACTACGGACATATTGCAGGAGTTTATTCAACATCTTGAGCAGTTCGGTGCCTGCTGAGGCTGCAGCTTCTGACCTGTAAAATTACAGACAAAGAAAAAGAAATATTTCCTGCTTTTCACACCAAGTATCACAGTCTCTTTGAAATTCAGCTTAATATCTCAGTCCTATAGCAGCTGTGAAGTGAGCAAGTCCTCCAGTCAAAGTGAAGATATGAGCTCTCTGCTCCCACCCTCACATAAGAACCACGAGTGCTGCTCCTACAGGTGGCAGGATGCAAACGCAACGTGACGTCATGAGAAGGAGTTTAAACAGCACTCTGTTCAAAACGTTTCCAAAGTCGTGTCAACAAATTTCATGTTTCCCAAACACTTTATACTATGATGAGGTTGTGTGGCACGACAGGTTTTTTGATGAATGACTTGGAATGATGAATTCTATCAGCACAACAAATACTGAGTATTAGGTACTATTAGGTACTAACACTCATTTAAATACAGTAATTTGGGCTTAGATTCCGTTAGTTATCATAATCCAGGCTTTATAACATTTCTGTTTTTTTATCAGTTTATTTTTTCAACTGCATTATGACTAACAACGAAAAATCTCCACAGTTTGAAGCGTAGAGTGTTACAGATACAAAGTGAATTTATGTTATTTATGTCATGAGATGTTAAAACGTGTGGTTAACACAAGTAATCACCACAGCCTGTGGAGTCTACTGTAAAGAGATGGCAACTCAACCATTCAGTGTTGAAACAAAAAATGTCAAGCAAACATGAACAAGAGAGGTGAAGAAGAAAAAGAATGCAAGCAGGGTGGAGATGACTGCCAGGGGTGATTTGTGGCAGAACAAGTGAAAGTTTACAAGATGGCAGTGAGACCTGCTGTGATGTATGGCTTGGAGATGGTGTTACCGAGAAAAAGAGGCAACCACAACAGCACAAGAAGACAAATGTTTCCTGTATTTCATGCAAATTATCATATTTTCTGTTAGTAGTGTCCATGTTTTTTGTTACAGCAAATGTTTCTAGGTCTGGTGGACCCACTGTGGCTTTCATTTTTAAATCAAAGAAGCCTAAAAATGCATGTAAAAATATAGTAACTGAGAAAAAGATATTAAATTAGATTAGGTTAGATTAGATAGGACTTTATTAATCCCTCAGGTGGGTTTCTTTATGAAATTCTGACTGTCAGTGTTTTGTGACCTTCTAAAATCATACTTCAGACTTTCACTTGTGGTTTAATGTCCTTGAGACTTTGTCACTTCTGAAAAAAAGATATGAAAATGGAAGCACATGTTGTCCTAAAATCTGTTCGTATATAGGTTAGAGCACTGATGGTTACAGAGATACAACATGTGCAAAATGAATGTCAGATCTGCCAGTTTCATAAGCACTCACAAACTCTGACACAATCAGAGATGCAGGATTTTGTAACTGAGCACTGATGATAAGCTGGATGGTCTCTCTACTCTTTAGTTCAGAGCACATGGTATACATGTTTTTCAAAATGAAATTCACATTATAATTCATTCTTCCACAAAGTTTTCAACTTTGCATCAATTCACTTCCTGCCATTTTTTCTTTACTCTCATATCATTTTCGACTGCTTACTCTAATTACCAGTCCATTTCTTACCATGTTCACACCATCCATCCATCCATCCATCCATCCATCCATCCATCCATCCATCCATCCATCCATCCATCCATCCATCCATCCATCCATCTTCTTCAGCTTATCCAGGGCCGGGTTGCAGGGGCAGCAGCCTAAGCAGAGAAGCCCAGACCTCCCTCTCCTCAGCCACCTCCTCCAGCTT